TTTCTTCCATTTGCTTTAGAATCTCTATACTGGATAGCAAACTTCAGAGTCTCTTCTAACATCCATTTTGGTCTTTTCCTTCTTGTCTTCCTAATGACCTTTTCTTTTTTCTATATGATTTTCTTGATGTCATCCCACAACTCTTCTGGTTTTTGATCTTTAGTGTCTAATACATCACATTTGTTCCTCAGATGATCTCTAAGTTCAGGTGGGATCTGTTCAAGTTCATATTTTGGCTCTCGTGGACATGTTTCAATTTTCTTCAACTTCAGCCTGAACTTGCATGTGAGCAATTGATCTGGTCTGGTCCACAGTCTGCCCTTGGCCTTATTTTGGCTGATAATATGGAGTTTTTCCACCATCTCTCTTTATACAGATGTAGTCAATTTGATTTCTGTGTATTCCATCTGTTGAAGTCCATGTTTATGGTTTTATGTTTTTTAAAAAGGTATTTGTAATGAAGAAGTCAGCGGTCTTGCAAAATTCTATCTTCCAATCTCCAGCATCATTTCTATCATCAAGGCCATATATTCCAACTACTGATCCTTCCTCTTTGTTTCCAGCGTTTGCATTCTATTTGCCAGTAATTATCAATACATCTTGATTACATGTTTGATCAATTTCAGACTTAAGAAGTTGGTAGAATTCTTCAATTTCATCATCATTAGCATTAGTGGTTGGTGCGTAAATTTGAATAATAGCTGTATTAACTGGTCTTCCCTGTTGTTATATGGATATTGTCCTGTCACAGACAATTTTGTACTTAAAGTAGATCTTGAAATGTTCTTTTTGATGATGAATTATTTTTTATGACTCCATTCCTCTTCAATCTGTCATTGCCTGCATAGTAAACCATGTGGTTGTCATAATTCAAAATGGCCAAGACCAGCCCATTTCAATTCATTGACAACTTTCAAATTTCTTAGATTCATAGCTTGTACATTCCATGCTCCAATTATTAATGGATATTTTCAGGTGGTTCACCTCATTTTTGAGTTGTGCCCCATCAGTAAATGAAGGTCCTGAAAGCTTTACTCCACTCGTGTCATCATGGCCAAGTCTATTCTGAAGAGGTAGTTCTTCCCACAACCTCAGGGGCTCATCTTGCAGCACTATATCTGATATTTTGGTGCTTTTCATCATGTTTCAGTGTTCATATTCTACTGCTATTTGACAGTGTTCCACTGTCATTCATAAGGTGTTCAGTGACTAAATATTTGGAAGCTTGCCATCTCTCCTTCTTCCTAGTCCATCTTAGTCAGGAAGCTCAGCTGAAACTTGTCCACCTGTTATTTTAAATACCAGTGAGATGGCTTCCAGCATCACAGCAACATGCAAGCCAGCACAGTATGACCAACTGACAGCAAACAAGTGGTAGCAGGATTATTATAAGTCTTAGAAATGTTTTATGTTAAAGACCCGCTGGTGCCTATTGTTGTTGTTAAGTGCTGTTGAGTCGATTCCAACCCATTAGCAACCCTATATAGGGTTTCCGAGGAACAGCTGGTAAGCTTGAACCACCGATCTTGCAGTTCAAATGGGTTTGCAGTCTGGCACATTAACCCACAGTGCCACACCAGGACTCCATGGTGCCTATTAGGTAGGTAATAAATACACTGCAGTTGTCATCATTAAGTGCCATTTAGTTGGTTCCAACCCACAGGGACTCTGTATAAGGTTTCGAGGAGCTTGAACTGTGGACTTTGTGGTTCAAACCGACTTTGCATCTATCACATTAACCCACAGTGCCACACAGTAGGTTTCAATAAATAAGGTGATTTGGATAAGAAAGAGGAAAAAGAGGAGTATCTGTCATTTAGACCTTTAATTCTGGACCAAAGACTGCAGAATTTGTCTTGTGGGCCTTTGGATGAACATCAAAGTTTTGTTTCGTTTTTCAATTTTTTTCCAGAAAAAAATATCAAAAGATGTAAATCTTTATAATATGCATGAGAAAGAAAATCTTGACTTTGTTTGCAACATTGGCAAGAATGTGCAGAAGGCAAGGGAAAACACTGAAGTAAAATGACCAACCTACTTAAGGTGGAAGCCATCTTTCTTCATATAAGTGTTACAGCATCGTTTCATTGAAATATGGATTCTCTCCTCTGAAATCTAACTCTGATCAGGTGAAACAGAGATGCAAATGCAGAGGGACAAAGGGACATTTAGAAGAGAGAATGTTGCAAAAAGAGAGAGGCAGGGAAAGAGACAGAAAGATACAGAGACGAACAGAGGTAAGAGAGAATGGATCTTTTAGGGCTTGTCTTTCTTTTGCATGAAAACATCTGGCACACAGCTGGGCTGGCTGGATGCAGATGACTTAAAAGAACATGCATACAGGTGTAATTCTGGTATCAGCAGGCTTGGATTTGACTGACAGGTAAAATAAAGTAAATCTGTGGGGAATTGGTGTGGAGTGGTGAGAATGCGACCTCTCCTGTTATCTCACCTCTACGAGATGCGCCTGAACATCCAAGAACAGCTTCCTGCACTTGTCTTCCCATCACCTGCTGGCAACATTTCTCTTCATGGTCCAGGAGAAGGTCTCTGGCCAATAAAGCAAGGAGCATCCTGTGCCTCTGAGACAATGCCCCTTATCTGCCTCTATACCATTTTCCTCAGCTCCATTTTCAATCTGCTGGCTGTTTTGCTTAGAGAAGGGACAGTGTATGTTTGTGAGAGAGGTGTTTGGCTTAGCGTACTCTGAAAGCAGAATATACTTAAGTTCATTTCATATTTCAACATCATTGCTTCTTTTCTTCTCAAAAATGGCCAAACACAGGATGCTTAATGGGCATCAGTAAACTCCCAAAAGTCCGTTTCCATTGTCAGAGTTGATTCTGCCCTAAAAGCTTGTGCCTATTGGGCCCCATTTCGAGCAGATAGCTAGTCCCTGCACCCGCTCAAATCCCCTGCAAGGAAGTAGGGGCACTAGGGAGCAGCAGTTTGAAAAGCTGCCACCTCTTGATGGAATACTTCCAGAGCCAAGCCTAAATCAAAGCTGTTGTGGATTAGTGGCTTTTGTGAAATGACACCTGAATACAAACGCGAACCTGACCTTCCAAAGGACAATGTACTGTGTGTTTCCTTGAAGAATCGTTTTTCTCACTCCACCTTCCAGATCTGAAAGAGTCCATTGTCCAGTTAAGATGGGTGGGAATGGTTCTCTGTAGGCTTCTATACAGTGCCCCTTTTTTTCCGGGGCCAGCCTGGGGTGATACAAATGGTTAAGTATTTGGCTGCTAGCCACAAGGTTGGAGGTTCAAGGCTACCCATAGGACCTTAGAAGAAAGGGGTTGTCAGTCTACCTCTAAAAAATCAGCCCTTGAAAACTTAGAGAACACATTTCTACTCTGCCACATATGGGGTCACCATGAGGCTAAATGACAGCAGCAGCTGGTTGACTGTTTTTTCATATTGTTTTGTTTTGTTCTGGGTATATGAGTATTTGCTGTATTATAATGTCCTTTCCTTGCTCAATTTTTTTAAAATTAATGAGCTACTTCATGCATATGCATCAAAATATCTATCTTTACATCTACATATGTTATTGTTAAGTATTATCAAGTCCTTTCCAACTCACAGCGACTTTGTATAGAGTTTCTGAAGAACGACTGGTGGGTTTGAACCACCAACCTTGTAGTTCAAATTGACCTTATGGTCCAGTGCGTATCCTACAGATTCATGTTATTGTTGTTGTTAAGTACTATCCAGTCAGTTCTGACTCAGCGACCCTACATAGCGTTTCTGAGGCTGTAAATCTAGGGGAGCAAAAAGCTGCATCTTTCTCCAGCGGAGCGGCTCGCAGGCTCCATCTACAGATCTTGTGGTTTGTAATCCAGTGCTTATCATAGGGAGCCATCTGCTTCCCACCCATATATGTGTATACAGTCCAGTGCCTATTGTACTCAACCAACGTGCTCCATATGTATATACATACATGGGGAGCTTGGTGGCTCTGAATGATAAGCACAGGACTATATATACATATATGGGTCCACAGATCGAGTCCACCACCCACTCTGTGGGAGAACAATGAGATTTTCTGCTCCTGCAAAGTTTTACAGCATTGGAAACCCTGTAAAGGGTGACTACACATCAAAATCACTTGGACTGCACTTAACATCAAAAATAACACATACATATATCGAAGTAGCCCTGGTAGCATAGTGAGATATGCATTGGGCTGCTAACCTCAAGGTCAGAAGTTCAAGTCCACCAGGCTAATTCATTGCCGAAAGATGAGACTTTCTGCTTACATAAAGATTTGCAGGGTCACTATGAGCTGGATCTGACTTGAGGCACATGACCGCCATCATCATTTGTTGTTGTTGTTAACATCATCGAGTTCATTCTGACTCATAGTGATCCTGTATCGTTGTTGTTAAGTGCCGTCGAGTCGGTTCTGACCCATAGCGACCCTGTATAAGGTTTCTTAAATGTTTCCAACTGTTTTGCTAAGGATTGACTTACACATCTAATAGCAATGTAGAAGGGCTTGCACTGACCCCATCCTTGGTAATATCTTTCATTGCTTCAATTTACATTTTTGGTCCATCTTTTCCATCTAACATGGCGGCTCTTTGTAGTTCTCAGTGGCATTTCTTAGATTATTTATAGATTGTTGTTGTTGTTGTTAAGTGCCATCGAGTCGGGTCCGACCCATAGCGACCCTGTACAGGGTTTCCGAGGGTGTAAATCTTTACGGGAGTAGAAAGCCTCATCTTTCTCCCGCGGAGCGGCTGGTAGTTTCGAACCACTGACCTTAAGGTTCGCAGCCCGATTCGTAACCACTACACTACCAGAGCTCCTTTATAGATTAGACTATCTCTTTTTCACATTTCATAGCCACTTAAGCTTCCTCTTCTTTATTGTGCTCCTTATGTATTCCCGATACATTGGGACCCGTTCAGCACAGCTCTGCACATGGCTGAGTCCGGGTTGAAAGTGGAAGGGAGGCATACAGTGACAGAGATGTGCTGTTGTTCTTTGTAAAGGCACCGAAGGGTCGGGAAGTGGCTTCTATGGACCCCGTTACATCACCGACATGGGTATCAGTGATGATGAAGATGGATTTGAAGAGGACTTAGATCTGGATGTTTCCTTTGAAGAGGTAACAAAAACCTTTGCTGTTAACCCAGACTGTTCTTTTGTTCTTGACGAATAAGGCAATTTAGTCAATGTACCATGGCCATTTGACCTAAAACTGAAATTGGCCCATTTGCTTTTAACATTGATTTATTGCCTCTGATTATTAGACTCCAGGTGATTGTAAATTAGCAGTAACTGAGTTCTAACCATGCTGATGTTGTATAGGCAAACACTGCCTGCTGGTTTCACAACCTGGCAAAAATGCATTTTGATGATCCTTCAATTGAAATTTTATAAGACCCAGTATTATAAGAAATTGAATAATGCCTTGGCAAAGCAATGCATTTTTACTAGAAATAAATCCTATAATATCAGCTTTACCACTGATTTTCTGAGTAATATTTGGAATAATCCTTGAGCCTTAAATTCTTCATCCATAAATTGAGGTCAGTAATACATCCCAGGGAATTTGTATCAAAAATGACAGTATTTTCAAGGATTAAGCATCGTTCACACATAAAGCAGTCTAATTATTATCTTCTGTGTTAATCCTGAACCCTTTTTCACTTCTGTCTTTAGGTTAAACCACTTTCTGCTACCAAAGAAGGGAATGAGAAAATTCTGGTGGAAACCAATATGACCTCTATATCTACTCCAAAGACCACATCGAGGCTTGTTGCCCCGACCTCAGCATCTCTCCCTCAGACTCCAGTGACTCCCCATGCCATCCCAGTACACAGTAAGGGGAAGGGAGGCATGGCTACAATGCCGAGGCTCTTTGACATGTCTTGTGATGAAGTCATCTGCCCTGCTGACAGCTTCTGTATCAATAACTACACCTCAGGCGGCTCACGATGCCACTGCAGCTTGGGCAAAGGTGGTGAGAGCTGCTCAGAAGGTAGGGAGAAGCACATGGTGTTGGGTTGGCCCACCGGGAGCCAGAGGCCAGCTTGATGGTCTAAACTCCACCTAGGAGTCCTGGCAGCTCCATGGTTAAGCACTTGGTTGGCAACTGAACCCACATAGTGGCTCTGTGGGAGAAAGACCTGTGATCTGCTTCCGTAGAAGATTACCCAGTCTACAACCATTGAGTTGAATCTGTAAGGCAGAGTACAAGGGCTCCATAGGCTTTCGGAGGCTGTAAATCTTTACAGCACAACTTCCTGCTTTTCCCACAGAGTAGCTGGTGGGTTTGAACCATCAACACTTGACCCACTTACCTACTGCACCACCAGGCCTCTATCTGTAAAAGACACTTGCTAGGTGCTGTTGAGACAGTTCTGACTCATAGCGACCTTAAGCACTACAGAGTGAAACACTGCCCAGACCTGCGCCATCCTCTTAAACCGATTGCTGCTGCCACTATGCTAGTCCTTCTTATTGGAGATATTCCTCTTTCTCTCTGACCCTCCACTGTCCCTAGCATGACGTCTTCTCCAGGGACTAGTCTCTCCTGATAACTTGTCCAAACTATGGGAGATGAAGTCTTGCCATCCTGGCTTTTAAGGAGAATTCTGTTAAACTATTATAAACACAGATACGTTTGTTCTTCTGGCAGTCCATAGTACTTTTAATATTCTTTTCCGACACCATAACTCAAATGCATCAATTCTTCTATGGTATTCCTTATTCATTGTCCAACTTTTGCAAGCATATGAAGTTATTGAAAAGACCCTGGCTTGGATCAGGCACACCTGAGTCCTCAAACTGACATCTTTGATCTTGAATACTTTAAAGATGTCTTGTGCAGTAGATTTACCTAATACAATATGTCCCCTGGAAAATCCACTGTGATAGTTCTATGACATGGGGTCCCTATGACTCAAAACTGACTCAGTAGCGCCTAACAGCTTCAAAATCCCTTTCTAAAATAAGTTTATTCTTCCATGTGTTTATTCTTCCAGAAGTTTATTCTAGCACCATGGAAAATCACACTTCTAATTAGATATCAGTCTTATTCCTATGTGTACCAAACTCATAATACTTCTTAAACATCATTATATCATCCCTACAACTATCTGGCCGACTGATTGGAAGAGATCCATATTTGTGCCCATTCCAAAGAGAGGTGACGCAACAGAATGCGGAAATCATCGGACAACCTCTTTGATATCTCAAGCGAATAAAGTTTTGCTAAAGGTAATACAGAAACGGCTACAATCATACACTGACAGAGAACTTCCAGAGGTTCAAGCTGGATTCAGAAGAGGCCGTGGAACGAGAGATATCATTGCTGATGTCCGATGGATCTTGGCTGAAAGCAGAGAATACCAGAAGGATGTTTACCTATGCTTTATTGACTACACAAAGGCTTTCAATTGTGTGGATCATGACAAGCAATGGACAACATTGAGAAATATGAGTATTCCAGAACACTTAATTGTACTTTTGAGAAATCTGTACCTAGAACAAGAAGCAGTTGTTCGAACAGAGCATGGGAACACTGAATGTTTTAAAATTGGGAAAGGTGTGCGACAAGATTGTATTCTTTCACCATACTTATTCAAGGAGCTCTGGTAGCATAGTGGTTACGAATCGGGCTGCAAATCGCAAGGTCAGCAGTTCGATTTCCAGCTGTTTCGCAGGAGAAAGAGGAGGCTTTCTGCTCCCGTAAAGATTTACAGCCTCAGAAACCCTGTTCAGGGTCACTATGGGTCAGAACAACTCGACGGCACTTAACAACAAATTCAACCTGTATACTGAGCAAATAAATACGAGAAACTGGATTCTATGAAGAAAAATGTGGCATCAGGATTGGAGGAAGACTCATTAACAACCTGCGATATGCCGATGATACAACCTTGCTTGCTGAAAGTGAAGAGGACTTGAAACATTTACTTATGAAGATCAAAGAGCAGAGATGTCAGCTTGAGGACTAAGGTGCGCCTGACCCAAGCCATGGTATTTTCAATAACCTCATATGGATGCAAAAACTGGACAGTGAATAAGGAAGATCGTAGAAGAATTGATGCCTTTGAATTGTGGTGTTGGAGGAGAATACTGAAGGTGCCATGGACTGCCAAAAGAACCAATAGATCTGGTTTGGAAGAAGTGCAGCCAGAGTGCTCCTTGGAGGCCAGGATGGCTAAGCTTCATCTCTCATATTTTGGACATATTGTCCAGAGGGAAAAGTCGCTGGAAAAGGATGTCATGCTGGGTAAGGTGGATGGTCAGAGAAAAAGAGGAAGACCCCCAATGAGATGGATTGGCCAGGTGGCATCATTGATGAACTCGTGTGGCAGCGGTAGTGAGGTTGGCCCAAGATCGGACATTGTTTCATTCTGCTGTGCATGGGGTCTCTATGAGTCGGTTCTGACTCGATGGCACTTGACGACAACAACATCACCTTGGAGAAGTGGGCTTTATGCATCCTGGTACTGTAGAATAAGAACTGTGCTGCTAACCACAGGGTTGGCAGTTCAAGCCCACCAGGTGTTCCTTGGAAACCCTATGTAAGGTCACTATGTGTCAGAATCAACTTGATGGTACGTAACAACAAAGCAGCAGCACAGAAAAAAAAAAAAAAAAAAAGTCAGCTGAAACATGTCTGAAGGGTTAAAACTGATAATAATTGAACCAAATTATATTATTTAAAAGTACGCTAGAAAGAGGGTATCACTGGTAATGAAGTCAGAGATTTCTTTTAGAGACGCAGTCTTCAAGAATCCTATGTCTTCCTAATAATTTCAGAAGCTCAGTGTCTCCAAGAATGTGAAGAGTAGGTATAAATAGCAGAGGAGAGAGCAAACTAGGTTTTACAGATCATCGTGGCATTTCACAATGTGTGTATTGATTTTTGCTTTTGAAAATATGAAGAAAAAAAGCAGCATTCTTTTGTGTTTGTCTTTTCTTTGTTTCTTTGTTTCAGATATTGCTATACAGTATCCTCAGTTCTTTGGCCATTCCTATGCAACCTTTGAACCTCTGAAGAACTCCTATAAGGCATTTCAAATTGCTCTTGAATTTAGGGTAAGAGATGACTAGACGTTTAACGAGTGCTTATTAGACATTGACTAAGGGAGGGAGAGAATTAGCAGGGAGGATGAGTATGACCCAGAGTCAGCCCTTAACTCAGTTCACAAGACAGCAGGAGTGAGGAGTATAATTCACACACTCAAGGAGCCAGCAGAGGGCAGTGGATATGAGGTATGGAAGTGACTGAGTCCTAGGGTGTCGCTGTAGGATAAACACTGAACGACAAGGTCAGTGGTTCAAACACACCAGCCACTCCTTAGAAACCCTATAGAGAGTTGCTACGAGTCAGAACTGACTTGATAGCACTTTACAACAATAAACAGCATGACTGACGTAAAGGTTCCACTGAGAACATTAGGATCTGAGTAGTGTTGTTCTTGATAATGACTCTTCCTAGGCCAGGGTATCAGAAGAAATCATGAATTCTCCATTCCAGAACCCTTTTTCAAGGGAGTTCATACTCGGTCCTCATTGCATGACTGTAAATGAACTAATGGGGGGAAAAAAACATAAAAACAACCCTGAAATAGAGTGAGACCTTCATAGGTGCTCCCTGACATGAATCAGCACCAGGTCTGAAATCAGTCAGCGCCTTTAGGTTAAGATGTTTTGTTTGGTTGGGGGTCTCAGACAACTCAAAAAAGTTTGGAAATCTGGAAGGAAGTCTATTTTGAGGTCACGGCCACAGTGTTGAATGTCCAAGAGATGATCTGCCCCAACATAAGGCAGCCAGCACGGCCGAAAACCATGCCAATCTATGAGCTTGACTCTGTACATCCCTGTTCTTCTGATCGGACTGGTGGTGATATTGGTTACGTGCCACAGGGTCGGTTGTGACTCATAGCGACCTGCATAGGATTTCCAAGACGGTAAATCTTTGTGGGATCAGAAAGGCTCATCTTTCTCCCATGGAGCGACTGGTAGATTCAAACTAATGACCTGCCCAGCTCAGAATCCACTACACTACCAGAGCTCAAATTCACATGATTTCCCAGAGAGAGGGAATAGAAAAGAATACTTCCTGCTGGGGGTGAAGGAATGCTCTTTGATGAGAAGACAAGTTGATGAACATGAGTACCATCTTCAGACAATGATGATGGTCTTTGCACCATATGGATTTCCAGAAGTTCTGCAGGTAAAGCCACAAAGTCAAACAAACAGCTGGTCAACTACGGGGCCACCTGCCCCTCATTGCCACTTCTCTAAAACGATTTTGATTGTAGCCATCTGTTTATTGGAAATGAACTGGCTCTAGGTACCTGGGAATTCCTTGGCATCCATGCTTTTTCCCATTTGGAAATGTGACTGCATTGAGCAGGGGGGTGTTCAAGTTTTGTATTTATGAGTATTTCCAGATGGCGCTTTATGAGCAAAGAGGAGTTTGTTGTTCATGTGACTCTTGTTTGTATAATAACAGGCAGAGGCGGAGAATGGCTTACTGCTCTACTGTGGGGAGAGTGAGCACGGAACGGGGGATTTCATGTCGCTGGCCATCATCAGGCGTGCACTCCAGTTCAGGTAATTCCTGTCAGAGCCCATGGGTGTTTCAGACTATTCTCCATTTTATTTTACACTGTGAATAAAATATATACAGGATGGATGTCTCTAGATCAAGGAACAAGGTGAGTACAGAGAATGTGGACCCATTTACTAACTACTGGAGTAGCAGTATATAGTGTATACTTGACCAGTGGAACCTCATAACCACACAGTAAGCAATCCTTGGGTAGCACAAATAGGTAGGTGCTGAGTTAGCTAAAAGGTTGGTGATCTTTATCTGTTGACAGTCATCTCAGAAGAAAGGCTTAGTGATCTGCCTTTGAAAGATCACAGCCATGAAAACCCTGTGAAGCAGCTCTTCCTTCAGCACATGGGATTGCCATGGGTTAGAATCAACTCAATTCAATGGCAACTGATAGAAAAATGATCATTTATTCAGCAGCAAATTTTTCTACAGGGTCTGCCATATGCTATACACTACTCTAGGTGCTAGGGATGGCAGCATTGAGCCAAAGAGATAGGGTCTCTATTCTCCTGGAATTTTGGTGAATATGGTGAAATTGGGGCTGGGATCTTCTCCTTGTCTTCCTGTGGAAAATAGGACTGAAAATCATGGAGGGCAAACCCCTGTCTTTATCTCCTCTTGAGAGTGTCATAAATGGTTTGGCTCTTCTCCTCTGTCTTGGTCAGTATTTTCAAAGCCAGGGTTGTATGGTGGTGCGAGCATTTTAATGACCTTCATGGACTTTGTTGGTGCTGGTGGTGGTATTGAGTTGATTTCAGCAGAAGCAACTCTATGGGACAGAATAGAACTTGGTAACATAGTTGGTCAGACTAAAAGAGGAAGACTCCCTCTGAGATGGATTGGTACAGGGGTATTAATAGCAGACTTAAACGTAACAACTATTGTAAGGATGAAGCAGGACCAGGCAGTGTTTCTTTCCATTGTGCATAGGGTTGCTCTGAGTTGGAACCAATCTGATGGCGCCTGACAGCAACAACAGCATAGCGTTTCTATGAGCCTGAACCAACTAGATGGCAATGTGGTTTTAAGTCATTTAATCCTCCCCATCTTTTCTAGGCTGTAAGCTTTATGGGAGCAGATCACCAGGCCTTTATCCTGAAGAGTAGCTGGGTGGGTTAAGCTGCCATCCTTTTCAGTAGCAGACATGAAGTTAACCATTGTACTGCCAGGGTGGAGGTGTAGGAAGTACCTAATTGAGAACACCCAATCAATATCAGCCTGTCCTTCTCCACAGTACATTGATGGCATCATTCACCCTCTCTAGCCTTCAACAAATCAGTTAACCTCCCCAAGTCTGTCTGTCATTATAAGATTAAATGAGTTTAAAACACATTGCCATCTAGTTGATTCTGATTCATAACAATACTATGTTGGTGTTGGTGGTACTAGCAAATCGGTTCCAACTCATAGCAACCTTGTGCACACCAGAAAGAAATACTGCCCGATCCTGTGCCATCCCCAAACTGTTGTTCCGTTGGAGCCCGCTATTGCTGCCACTGTGCTAGTCCATCTCATTGGGAGTCTTCCTCTTTTTCACTGACCCTCCACTTCACCAAGCATGATGTCCTTCTCCAGGAACTGGTCCCTCCTGATAACATTTCCAAAGTAGGAGAAACTTCTAAATAGCATTCTGGTTATACTTCTTACAACACAGATTTGTTTGTTCTTCTGGCGGTGCATGGTACTTTTAATATTCTTCTCCAACATCAAAACTCAAATGCATCAATTCTATGGTATTTCTTATTCACTGTCCAAATTTCACATGCATATGAGACTATTGGGTCAGACACACCATAGTCCTCAAACCGATATCTTTGTTCTTGAACAGTTTAAAGAGTCTTGTGAAAAAGATTTGCCTAATCCAATGCAGCATTTAATTTCTTGACTGCCTGCTTCCATGAGTATTGGTTGTGGATCCAAGTAAAATGAAGTCTGATAACTTCAATCTTTTCTCCATTTATCAAGTTGTTATTTACTGATCCGTTGTGAGGGGTTTTATTTTCTTTATACTGAAGTGCAACCAACATTGAAGGCTGTGGTCATTGAGTAAGTGTTTTAAGTCCTCTTCACTTCCAGCAAGCAAAGTTGTATCATCTGCATATTTTAGCTTGCAGATGAGTCTTCTTCCAATCCTGAAGCCACATTCTTCTTCATATAATCCAGCTCCTTGAATTAGTTGTTCATCATACAGATTGAATAAGTATGGTGAAAGAATACAATCCGGGCGCACACCTTTCCTGATTTTAAACCATTCAGTATACCTTGTTCTGTTTGGATGACTCCTTTTTGGTCTATGTATCGATTCCTCATGAACACAATTAAGTATTCGAGAATACCCAGTATTTGAAATGCTATTCATAACTTGTCATGATTCACACAATTGAAAGTCTTTGCATAGTCAATAAAGCACAAGTAAACATCTTTCTGATATTTTCTGTTGTCGGCCAAGATCCATCTGACATCAGCAATGATAACCCTAGTTCCACTTCCTCTTCTGAATTCAGCTTAGATTACTGGCAGTTCCCTATCAATGTACTGCTGTAGCTGTTTGGTTTTTTTAAATTATCTTTAGCAAAATTTAACTTACATGTGATATTAATGATATTGTTCAATGAATTCCACATTCCATTGTGTGACCTCTCTTTGGAATGGAAACAAATATGGATCTCATCCAATCAGGTGGCTTCCAAATTTCTAGACGAGTGAGCACCTCCAGTGCTTCATCAGTTCGTTGAAAGATTTCACTTTTTATTACGTCATTTCCTAGAACCTTGATTTTAACCAGTACCTTTAGTGCAGCTTGGACTTCTGCCTTAAGTTTCATCGGTTTCTTAATTACATGCTACCTCTTAAAATGGTTGAATATTTTGGTACAGTGACTATATATACTTTCATCTTCTTTTGATGCTTTCTGCATCATTCAATATTTTTCCCATGTTGTTGCTGTTGTTAAGTGCCGTCAAGTTGATTCTGACTCATAGTGAATCTGTAGAATGTTTCCAAGGAGTGGAATACTTCAATATTTCAAGTCAAGGCTTGAATTTTTCTTCAGTTCTCTCATCTTGAGAAATGATGAGCGTCTTTTTCTGTTTTGGTTTTCTAACTTGTCTTTGTACGTTTCATTATAATATTTGACTTGTCTTCTCGAGCTGCCCTTTGAGATTTTCTGCTCAGCTCTTTTACTTCCTCATTTCTTTCATTACTTTTAGCATCTCTACACTAAAGAGCAAGTTTCAGAATCTCTTCTGTCATCCATTTTGGTCATTTCTTCCTTTCCTTTCTTTTTAATGACTGTTTGCTTTCTTCCTGTATGATGTTCTTGATGTCATCCCACAACTCTTCTGGTCTTTGGTCATTAGTGTCTAACACATCAAATCTATTCTTAAGATAGCCTCTAAATTCAGGTGGGCTATGTTCAAGTTCATGTTTTGGCTTTCACAGACTTTTAAAATTTTCTTCAGCTTCAACCTGAATTTATATATGAACACTTGATGGTCTCTTCCACCATCAGCTTTGTTTTGACTCATGATATTTGAACTTTTCTACCACTCTTCCCACAGATGTAGTCAGTTTGATTTCTGTGTATTCTTCTGGTGAGGTCCATGTCGATAGTCATCCTTTATGTTATTTAAAAAAGGTATTTGTCACAAAGAAGTCATTGGTGTTGCAAAATTCTTGCCATGCAATCTCCACCATCGTGTCCATCACCAAGAGCAGATTCTCCAACTACTGATCCTCTATTGTTCAAATTTTTGTATTCCCATCATCATTAATGATCAATACATCTTGATTGAATGTTTGATCAATTTCAGACTGAAGAAATTGGTAGATTTTTTCCATTTCATCATACTGGCTTTAGTGGTTGGTGCATAAATTTGAATAATAATGGTAATTACTGATCTTTCTTATTAATATGTGGGTGTTAACCTATCACAGATAGCATTGTACTTCAAGTTAGTTTATTTATTTGTGTTAATTTATTGTGGATTGAGTGATAGTTTACATGGGAGAGCATCAGCTTTACATACATCTTATCTTATTTTGTTTCATTGCAATGATTTCAATCCCCTCCATGCATCATCATTCAAAAGCGCTTGCTTCCAATCCCTCTGTATTTTTAATTTTATTTATTTTGGATGTACACCGAAAGGCACCAGCACACAGCCCCTCTCTAGACTCCCGAGTCTAGAGTCCCCAGCCTCTCCATCTCTCCATGCCATTATCTCTGCCTCTGTCTCTGGCGTTGCTGCTTCTCTCAATAGGGTCCCACACTCAGCTCTTCTCCCTTGATGGTCCCAGGGTCCTCTGCTCCAGAACTGCAAGATCAACCACTATCCTCCTTTTGTTACAAAATGTCTGCCTTGACATTTGCAACATTCACAGTCACTCCTAATAGCAATTATTCACTATTGAACCATAAGAGTCTTATCCCCATCTCCTTTCACCAGTGCTGTCTAGACAGGTTGGAAACCACTCAGTGGAGATCCTATCTTCCCCCGCACCCTCTGGAACTAAGCTCCCTCTTGAAAACTTGTAAGGCGGTCACTTCATGCTTTCGTAGTACCCCCACCCCCATTTTGGGTAGACAGTGTGTAAGTTGCCCGTCCCTCTCAACCCTGTGTGCAGAGGGGGTGGGAATGATCTTTGCTATAAAAATATGTTCCCTCTTTTAAGCTACTACATCCATAAGTATGGGTCAAGATCATCAAATTGTAGTGGATTACTTTTTTTTTTTCTTCCTCTTTCTTCCTTTAGTCGAGTTCTGATCCTTCAACCATTGAAGCTATGTCAAATGGGTACTATCTGCAAGTATGGGTGTTCTTGTACATCTCCCCTCACTTCATATAAGCTGAATGCTTCACTATCCACTCTAGTCCTCTGTGGCTCAAGAGTCCCCAGGTCTCGCTATACTACTGGCCAACCAGGTTGCAATCCAGGTTGACAGGAGCCTATTGAATGTGGTCGAACGTAACTCACAGCTTCATTGCTGTTT